ACATTTTAAAATAACAAATATTTAAGATTCAGTGCTATTTCTAGGTGATTCATCAAATGTAAGTAAATTAGTGACATTGATCATGTGTGTTTTTTTGTGCAAAAGGTCTCAAATCATGCTGGATAACATGGATCATCTGTTTTTGTCCATTCCAGCTCATCTTTTTGTGTAAATTGTCATGCAAAAAATAAAAAAAAATTACAGTGCTTCTTTCAGCAGCACTTAAAAAGTCTTATTTCACTCTTCCACAAAAGAAGGCCCTAAACAGGTCTTAAATCGGAGCAGAAAACTTGTAGGCCTATTCATAAAGTCACCCAAGTGCAACTGCAAAAAAATTAATCTCTTCCTCAGTATTTTTATTTTGTTTTCCAATACAAATATCTAAACATCCTTAAATCAAGATACATTACTGCAGATGCAAATTGAAGAAATTGTCTTGTTTTGTGAGAAATTGAATACAATTAAGTTTATGCTTAAAACAAGAACAAAAATTTGTCAATGGAAAATGAAGACTTGTTTTCCTTTTGAATTAAGTTGATTTTTCTGATATATGTTCTTGTTTTAATCACTCTGTTGGAAGTTGTATTTTTAAACTTTGAATAGTTGCTAATACAAAACATTTACATTAGAGACCATATTGATGTATTGTATTCATTTCAGTTTACTTAATTTAAATGTACCCTCATAAAACCTAAAGAAACTCTGTTTGTAAAGAAAGTGTTGTGTTAAATCAGAAAAGATGCAAAACGGAAGCATTTCACAAGTGTTATTTCCTTATTATTATAACTTTAAAAATGTATTTGTAAAGTATTGTTCTCGAAATCAGAAATCTCTATATTATTCCTCTTTTTCATTGCTGAGATGTTCTGAAAGACGTCTCAAGCTTGCGGTATGAGGGGGCCATTCATTATCGGAGCTGTTTGTCTGGACTCCAGCTCTGTAATCCTCCTCTTTAAATACACTTACATCAACCATTGGCTCCGTCCCTTGTACACAATCCACTGCCTATGAATTCAGTATTTTCATGTATATTTCCATCAGTGACTGCTTCAAACGGTGATATATCAGAGGCGCTGGGTTGACTGGCTATGATTTCAAGATGGTTTGTGGCCACTCTGATGGTTTGTTGACTGGGTTTCCACGTTACAGAAGTCGGTCTCTTCGTGTTATGGGACTATTTATTGTTTCCCACTTTGAATGTTTTGTTTGGCTGTGTGAGACTCCATGGTTAAGTGTTTGATTATTTTCTAAGAAGCTCCCTTCAAGTTTGTATGAGACATCAATGCCCCTCTTTGAAGCACATTGGATACGGTGTGTGGCGCAGGATCTCCATGAGAGAAGTGGCTCTTTTTTTAGAATGGAAATGTCGTCCTTGGTGTCCAGATTATGGCGTTTTGATTGCATTTGAAGTCAAATGAAATTAGTTAATTTAAAGTACAGTAAATGCATTTTTGTAGTATTAAGATTATGCATTTCTTTTAAAGAAGTTAGACAGTGCTTTATAAGTAATGTTGAGACTGCATAGAAATGCAATAGAAATATAACATCATTGAGACCATAATCCATGTGTAATCTGAATAAATGTTTAGTGAGATAACTAGTGAAAATAGTTGTTTTAGATTCATTTTTCATTGCAAATGATTGTGCATAACAATTTAGATTTAAATGTACACAACCTGGTGATCATGTTCTCCAGCATGAATTCGGATGTTTTAAAGTGCACCTTAAGCTTCAGTAGAATCGCACTTAGACATAGTGCAGAATTTAAAATATTTATTTTTCTTTATACATCATAATGTTCAAAATCTCAGAAATCAAGATGTGGTCTGAGACTTTTTGAGGAAAAGCGAACACGGCTATGATTTGTTCTCCTCTGGTTTCTCTGTTTGCTTTGAGCAGCTCCAGCAGAAATGAACTTCTGCATCAGTGTGTCTCATATCACATTACAACCTCGTCCTCTGAGGAATCAAAGCTCATTTTTCTTTACCATTCAATCTGTATTCTGTCTAATTATGTTTCCTTTTCTTGTTCATGTCTTTTTTTTTTTTCCTGACACACTGTCCGTTATCATTGATTTTGGTCTCTTGAAACTGTCCGGTCGTCAACGGGTAATTATAGATTTTGAGACAGATTATCGCACACATTTCGTTAGTGACAAACTCGCGTTAAGGAAGTGCACATGGTCTGAGAGATGCAGTGATTTGGTTCTAACGTGTCGCACATGGGGTAAATGATTTCAAGCCCTCTGCAGCCAATACAGCGTTATAAAATGCGTAGATGTCCTTGATGTTGAAGCCAAGATAAATGCAAACTTTTTTTTCCTCACAAATTAGGTTTTGATGATATAAAACAATGCAGATAAGAAAGCAAAGAGCATAAATCTCTCATTTCATTTGTCTCTCAATACATATTATTAGATCGACTGATTCCTTTTTAATTTGAGACTTTTTTTTTTTACTATAAAATAATTGAGGATTTAAATTTCCAATTTAAAAAAAACAAGCCCTCCACCTGGCTATCGATATTGCATTTCATTAATGTTTAACTTTCTTTTGAATAAGCTGGACTGCTCTGACTGCTCGCTCTCTGAGGCTTGGTTGACCAGGTCGCGTTTTGTCCATTAATGTTGTTTTTCTAGTGTAAACGAGAGATGTGATGATCAATTAGCTGAATGAAGCCGCTCAATCCAAGCCAGGATATCAGCACAGGCTCTAAATGAGAAGCACATGTCACCTCTGAGCCCAACAACATGCTGCTAATTGATTAGTGACGCTCTACAAAATTTGCCAAGAGCTTGTTTAACATCTGTAAGTGTTGCATGTGATGGCCGTTCATCACCTGAAGGAGTCTGAGCATCATTAATAATGTTTGAGTTTGTGTAAACGGGGGAATGTGACTATGTTTGTGCTGCTGCAGTACGCTCTCATATTTCAGGTTCACATTTGGTGCTGTTGAATTTTGATTTGTAATGTGAATCTAAATATCAACTGACGTATTTCAGCATTTTAGTATCTAGACCACCACTTAGTGCAAGCATCATTATTAGTGTATTCTGCTTTAAGTTTAAGGTTTTATTCTCATTCTAAACGGTTAACCCTGTTTAATTATTAACCCTGTCCTAAAACGAATATAATATGCAATTGTGAATGTAAAATATAATTAAAATCTAGTCTTTACTTTGAATATTGCTGGCTACATATTCCATTCAGTGTCTTTGACTTTTAAAATCTGTAGAAATAAGATGCTTTTGCCTTTCGAGATATTTCTTTACCTTATAGGATATCACGATTTTTAATTATTTCCATTTTGATGCTAGAACAACAATAGGTTATGTTGGACCTCAAAAACTTTTAGAAACCCATTTCTGCAGTAAAAAAGAAGCTCCAGTCAATTGCCATTTTATTTCTTTTTGTGTGTTTGAAAAAGCCTAAACTAGGATGAACGCAAATAGAGAGGAAAATCAAAAGGTTTGCATGTTTAAGTGTTTTTAGCTTATAGAGAATTAATAACACCATTTTTCTATTTTGATACTAAAACAAAATAATTTTATATCAGACCTCAAAAACTTTTATAGACACCTTATGCAGGGTATTTTGGTAAAAAATCTCTATTGAATTGGCATTTTATTTCCTTTTGCATGCTTGAAAAAGCCTTGACTGTGCTGAAAACAAATAGGAAAATTATGTTTCAATTAAGCATGTTTGTTTAATTGCTTTTTAACTTGTATGAATCAAGAAATTGAATGGGTTTGATGATAAAACAACAGTATGTTATATTGATTGTCAAAAACTTTTATAGAGCCCTTCATTTAGTTAAAAATCTGTTTAATTTGCATTTTCTTTTCTTTTGCATCTTTCAAAAAGCCTAGACTAAGCTGAACACAAATAAAAAGGCAAATTAAAGGGTTTGCATGTTGGTTTAAGTGCCTTTTACCTTATAGGGAATCATTTTGATGCTAGAACAACAGCTATCTAGTGCCAGTTTGTGCTTTAAATCAAAGCAAGACGTTTGAAATGGATGCTTCCTGATTTTGAAGGTTTGTAATGAAGGTATGTAAGCTCACAGTGTGTGTTTTCCTGAATAAGTTAGTATGCAATAATATTATCAAGCGGTGTATTCTAATGCTTTCGGGGTGTGTGAGGTATAACGCGCCTCTGCAGCCTCGTGTTTTAGAGACGCCACCTCGAACGCCTTGATGTGCATCGACAGTGATGACAAAACCATGTAGCTCACGCTGTCTGGCTCCGGCTCAATATCCTGCCTCCATATGTTTGTCTAGAAGGGCCTCCAATTACGTCGACATGAGAAACTTGATGAGGAAAATACTGTAAGTACAATCTCTGATCGCTCTGTCAACAGCGTTTTGTATTTTTATTTCCATACGTGCTGTGTGATAAGATCAAGATTTGTTTGGCTTTTACATGTTAGTATATTTTGAAATGCTGAGGTATTCAAATAGGTTTTGCATAGATTGTGTTTTACATGTCGCTCTTTTGTGTGCTGTATAATGCTGGACTCAATTTACACTCCCAGTTTTTCTCTATGTCAGACCTAAAGACTTTGTTAAAAAGCTCTATTTTATTTCCTTTTGCATGTTTGAAAAAGACTAAACTTAGCTGAACGCAAATAAAAAGCATTGCATGTTTGTTAAAGTGCTTTTCATTCATAAGAATAAATATAAGCTCCCTCGTTAACCATTTATCAATTAGTATTAACCACTGCAAATCCTGCATTATTGCAAGTTTTCCACATCTTGTTCCAATGTAGATCTGTAAATTGAAACCGAGTGAATGTTTATACATCCAGAAGGGTTTTTATCTGTCTTTGCCTCTTCGTCGCACATATGTGTTCTTAACTTACACAAGCTAGTCACGCGAACCCAAACATGCCGACTTTTAACGTTCCCGTGCGCGTGCGCCATCGGTTATCGACCCGCTCAACTTCTGTGTGACCCGCAGCTGAACCGCAGTGAAATGAAAATAATTTTTCACAGCACTCACCCCAGAAAAAGTTCTGCTGACACGGAGTCACCGAGCTGAAAAGACTGTTAGACGCCATAGCCACACGTGGATCTCCTCGGCTCTCTCCTCCTCTGGAGGTCGTGGTGACCCTTGAAGTCCTAAACTCGAAGCACAAATCATATCAAGGCATCTGAATGCAAGTGGCGACAAACAAACAAAAGCAGCCGGCGCACGGCCATGTGTTTCCCAAAACGTTCAGGCACATGATATCAACGGCATATACGAGTGTGGTTAGAGCGTACTTACTGACTTGTTGGGTCTCTGTGACTGGGGTTGACCCACTCTGATTAACCATTTACACCCCAGTGGCTCCCTCCTGTCGTCCTGGGGAAATCTTGTGCACCGCACTTGTGGTTCTGTGGTTGTTTGTGAGGGGAATGAGACATTCTCGCAATCCAAAAACGTGTAAGCTTTAAAACACTTCTTTCCCCTCCTGATGGGCTGTTACTGGAGAGGCTGGGTCATGTGTTTGGTGACATCAGAGCAGCGGAGAGGGTTCAGCCCTCTTGTCAGTGGTCCTGCGTTTCCTACTCACATCCAGCGGGATGCAACCTCAGCTCCTGTCAGTCCGAAAGGAAGGGGCTGGGATTTTCAGGCAACTCTGTTTCTGTCTTTCAGCCTCTCCACGTCCCGGTCTCATTCCTGTGCTTGTTAACTCTCTGTGGTGCGTTTAGTCCCACACGGGTGCTGTTTAGGCTCCAGGTGTGTCTCAGCGTAAGTTGCATAATTGGCTCTTTGAGAAATGACAGTCGCTGTATTGGCTCTTGGATCACATCTGGCTCTCGTGACGCCCCACGGCGCCTTAACAAGCGCATTAGCGACCGTGATTCATCCGTCTGTTTTGCGCGGCTCACAGGTTTGCATTTTGGCACACGGTCAGAGCGCGCACCTCAGGTGTTTGTGTAAGCGCGGAAAAACATGTGCTTCTTCAGTGCTCTCTCTCTCTCTCTCTCTCTCTCTCTCTCTCTCCTGTTTCGGGGTCATGTTAGGTGCTACACTGAGTTTTGTGTGTTCACACGTGACTTTAAAATCAAAATTACACTTCCTAGTATTTAAACCAACACTTAAGTTAAAGGAGGGACTGAGCCACAGACCAGAATATCACTTGAGAGTGATCGCTTTTGATTTGGACCAGTAAGTAGGCACCTTAGAACTGCAACTTAGAACAGCCTAGCAACCACTCAGAACAGTCAGCCTGGCAACATTAGAACAGCTTAGAACAGCCTACCAATTTTAGAACAGCAACTCAGAACAGCCTAGCAACCTTACAACAGCTTATCAACCACTCAGGACTGTCTAACAACCACTCAGAACAACCTAACAACCACTCAGAACAACCTAGCAACTATTCAGAACATCATAGTAGCCACTCAAAAAAGCCAAACAACCACATAAAACAGCCTAGCAACCACTCAGAACAGCCTAGCAACTATTCAGAACATCATAGTAGCCACTCAAAAAAGCCAAACAACCACATAAAACAGCCTAGCAACCACTCAGAACAGCCTAGCAACTATTCAGAACATCATAATAGCCACTCAGAAAAGCCCAACAACCACTTAGAACACCCTGGCAACCACTCAGAGCACTCTAGTAAGCCCTCGGAACAGCCTAGCAACCACTCAGCAACCATTTATTTCACCCTAACAATGACTCAAAACAACCTAGCAACCATTCAAATCAGCCTAGCAACCACTCAGAACAACCTATAAGCCACCCACAACACTATTGAATCCACTCAGAACAGCATAGCAACCATCAGTTTAGGAACCACTTTGAACATTCTAGAAAACACTCTGATCAGCCTAAGAACCACTTAGAACACCCTAACAACCACTCAGAACAGCCTAGCAACCACCAACAATATCCTAGCATCCATCTATGAAAGCTTCATATCATGGTGGGAAGTTTGCACTTGTCTATTCTTCAGAAACTGTAAAGATATCCCGATGTTTCTCCTAGACTGCTTATATTATGGGATGGTGGTGCGTATGAAAATAATGAAAATCTCAGCTCAGAGGATGTGCTGTGGTCTTGACAGGAAATGTTTCGCCCACAGCAGAGCAGACCGTTCGTTTCCTAAACGTCTGAGAACGTCTGATCAGACAAGCACTTTATTGCGCTTAGTAAGTTAAGCCAGAAACATGTAGCCGTACAATTTTCATGTAAACAGACGTACTGCATTATTTAAAGAGATGAAATTCTGTCATCATTTACTCACCCTCAAACTGAATGAGTTTCTTTCTTCTATTAAACATCAAAGGAGATACTTTGAAGAATGTTGGTAACCAAACCGATGACAGTAGCCATTGACTTCCATAGTAAGGAAAAAATATTATGGAAGTCAGTGGCTACCGGCAACAGAAGAAAGAAACTCGTACAGGTTTGGAATAACATGAGGGTGAGTAATTGGGTGAATTGTCCCTTTAAACTTAAAAAACTGTGCTGGTATAGCATTGCGTCATTCATATTTCAATTTTAATTGATTTATTGTCATTCTTTTGTGCGTTAATGAGTCTGTTAACCATTAACACCATTAACATTGTGCTATTACCAACCACATAAATCTGGTGATAAACAATGGTTTATTTTAATGTGATGTTTGTGTATATTTCTTAATGATAATGACATTAACTCTTCCATGGAAGAACTGCCTGGTCTAAAAAGGTTGTTGTTTAGTCATATTTAGCATGCTTGCGTGAATTGTGATCAGTTATATGATTTGTGTAGTTCCTTTAGTGAAACAACACAGACAGCGCGTGCAAATAAATGCTAGCAGGAGCACAGTGCATTCTTAGCAAATGTTTTTCCGTTATTCATTTTCAACCACACAATTTAGTGAGTTTAATGATTGATTTAATAGTAATATATTTAATTCATGCAAATTTTCTTTTTTGGCAGTTTGTAATTAGATACAGAAAAATGTTGCTTGTGACTTCATTGGATCCATTGCAATTTGATTTGATTTTTCATTTGAAAAGATTTTAATTTTATGTTTTATTTATTTAATTAAATTAAATTTTTTGTTTTATTTTAATATTTTATTTTATATGAAAACCATACATTGATTAATCATTTGCAGTATGAGCAAGATTGTGTATTAAGAAAGTAAATAGGATTTTCAATTATTTTAATTGATTTATTTTTTAGTTTTATGGCTGATTATATTTATATTTTATTGAAGTACCATGCACCAATTAATTGTTCACATTAATCAGTGCATGATTTGTAATGCGTTTTACCTCTGTAATGTGCTATTACCAAAAGAAACAGGATATTCAATAAGAAAAAAATGTCAAACTTTTTTTTAAGTTGTTTTAGAGGCAGAATTTTTATTTTATTTTATTTTATTGTATTTAATTTTATTTGATACAGTAGTACAGAGGGTATTCAGTGAACCGAAAAATGTAAAAAAAAATAATAATTTGCCCAACTTGTTTTAAAGGCAGGATTTGTATTGCTTTACTTTACTATCATGCACTGATTAATTGTTCACAGTAAGAGGAATATTGTGAATTAAGAAAGTTAACGTGATTTGTGTAGTTCCTTTAGTAATTCAGATGCTGAAACAACCCAGACAGCATGTGCAAATAAATGCTAGCAGGAGCACAGTCCATTCTAAATCAATGTATTGCCATTTCTTATTTTCCACCTCAGAATTGAGTGATTTTTCAGACTGGAAGGTCAAACGAGAAACTCCTGACTGCACATTCTGCTAATTATAGCCGCTCACGAGACAGACTGTATTTTCATTCATGCCGTTGACTTTCTGCTGTCTCTGAACACGTCAGGGTCGCTGTGAATATCTGCTCTTTGTCGGCCGAGCGCTGGTGGTCTTCTGCAAGCATGGCTTCACTGTGGTCCTTGTGTGTGTGTGTGTGTGTGTGTGCCCTTCTTAGGCCCGGCTTTAGCTTGGCCCGCTTCAGTCTACTCTGGACCACACAGGCATAAACAGGGCATTAGATGCTAGAACATTATTCCTGGCTGCCGGAGGAAGTGTGCACTAATGCTTCCAGGAGACGTTACACCCCTGCACCATTTCACACATTCTTAAATTAGAGCGGTTATGAGTTTACTGTTGAAAGCCACGCTCTATAGATGGAATTAAACGATGTTAGAGGTTACGTTTGTTAGTTTAAATTCAATCAGTGGCGTCAGTTGGGTCGTACAGATAGATGTTTCTCGGTTTTCTCATCACATGTGAATACGTTGTACAATACAATGTGTGTTTTTTGCAGTAACCTGTTTTTTTCCCAAACTTTTCGTCTTACTATTTTCTGTCACAAGGAATTGAATCTCCAAAATGTTTAATATATATATATATATATTTCAAGTCAAACAGGTTAAAGCAGAATCTAGATGTGAAACTTAAATTTAAAATTGATCTTTAAGAAGCTTTATTTTGTTTCTGTCTATTATTTGCAATTAAAGTATATATTTTATTTAAGCATTTAAATAGTAGTAATTTCTTTTATGAATGCAAATTGTTTTTTTTGACAGTTTGCAATCAGATATGGAAAAATGACTTCATTGTATCCATTGCAATTCAATTGTGTGGTTATGATATAATCTATTTTTATGATATTGTTGGTGTTTTTTTTTTTCCTTGTCTGTTTTGTCTTGGTTACATCAGCAGAAATGTCATTTCAGGGAGAGAAATATATATATTAAAAAATTGTTTTAAATTAATTAATTCATTTATTTAATGTCTTTATTATAAAGTTAAAAATTGCAATGTTCCCCCAAATTGGCTTGAAAATAACCATAATGTTTTAAGAGTAATTACTTATTTATTTATTAATTCATTCATTGCTTTAGACAAATCTCAGTTGTCTATTTTTTAAATAATGTACTGATTAATTGTGCAGAGTAAGATGAGGGGTATTCATTCAAATGGTAAATAGTGCTTATGGTGTCTGTACTTTTGTTTAATGTTTTTGATTTTTAATCTTTTTTTGCAACCCAAGCAGTTTGTTTTTTAGTACACAGACATCTTTTACATTCTCACAAAATATAATTCCATAATTTACGATCTCTATGATGTTTTTGCGAGTGCTGATGGTCAAATTGACCTGGTGATGTGAAACACTGTGGATTCTTTTTGCCAAAGGTCAGGACGAGTTAAACCGCAGCTGGGATCTGAACTGCTGCTTACGCATTCAGCACATCGCAGAACTCTGGGACACGACAAGATCATGCTTGGCAGGTCTCGCCAACCCCAGTGGCTTTCGCTTGCGGCATGGGCACATCGTGAGAATGGCAATTAAAGGAGAAGAACCTGTTATTT